TGTGTGTGTGTGTATATATATATATATATATATATATATATATATATATATATATATATATATACACACACACACACAGTGAATATTCTCTATCTACTATCTATCTATATATATAAATCTATACAAATATATAGCTAACCACACATAATACTTAAAATATTCTTAAATTTATCTATCTAGCAGTAAACAAAGTATAGTATGTAAGTATGTGTTAATATATGTGTACTTATTATATTTATATATATTGTATCTTCTTATACAAGTTACTTGTAACTTCTTATGTTATATCTATTAACATACAGCACAAATTAAAACCCCTTATTTCAATCCCATAAAGCGTCTATCAAACTCTAAATTTACTTTAGTAAAAGCTGTAATATTTAATCGAGCACTGACTTATCGGCCGTTAAAGTGAAGCAGTAACGTTAGCCTAAATCTCCCATCATGTCCTAAATGAACTCCTCAATAAAACGCACCTTGTTTTCCGAATCCGTTGAGCGGAGAAGAAGCTCCGAGACTCCGAGACTTCCTCAGATTCATTCTGTCGCTAAAGTCCGTCGCTTTCCGCGGCTTCAGATCCAGCTACATCGCTTTATCTCACTGAGAGGCGAACAGCTGATGGGCTTCTACTTTAGCCTGACAGCTAAAGGCCACATCTTCTCCTTCAGGCCCGCGTGAGCTGGATAAACTTGTGGCACATAAACAGCATCGGTCTCTTTCACTCATGACACGCGCTTTAACTTACATCAGTGTGTTCCGCCGAACCGAACCGAAGCGGCGTCTCTGCGCCTCTTTTGTGTCATTTCATGGGAAGCGCTTCAGAAGCTCCAGCTGTAGTATCATCTGGGTTGGTGTTTACGTGTGAGTGAAGGATTCTGGGAGTTGTAGTTTCATTGGCTCACGAAAAAGGCGGTGTCTTAGCAACCCTTCAAAATAAAGGTCACCATAAAAAAACACAGTAAACACGTAAAAAGTATTTAAAAATAGTGCTGTCAAACGATTAATCGCATCCAAAATAAAAGTTTTTGTTTACATAATGTGTGTGTACTGTGTATATTAATTATGTATAAATACACACACATGTATATATTTAAGAAAAATATGTTATGCTTATATATTAAATATGTTTATATATACTATAAATTTTATTAATATAAAAGATTATATTTAATAATTAAATAGGAATATTTTTTCACATTATAGTGATGAAAATTAGATATTTTTTGTTTGAGGTAAATGCACTTGATTATCTTGAACATAAATAAAAGAAATTAAAATAATATAATTAAGTTATAATGAATAAATTATAAGTAGATTGCATTTAATAATTAAATACGAATATTTTCTCACATTATAGAGATGATTTTATTGTTGAAGGTTTTTGTTGAAGTTGTGATTGATTACCTTGAACATGAATTAAAGATGTTAATATTGAAAATATTTTGAAAATTAAATCATATTTAATGCAATTAATCATATTTAATAATTATACAACGACTACATTTAATAATAATTAAATAATAATAATACTTTTTTCACATTACAGTGATGAGAATGAGACTTTTTGTTGTAGGAAACTGCATTAAATTATACATATTTTTTAATGTGTTTATTTTCCAGAAAGTGAGCTTCCTTTCATTTCGATCGCTCTCACCTAGTTGCTCAGGTATGTATTCCACAGACACGTTGAGCAGTCTGGGCCACACCTGGCGGCGGATCTCGTCGTTCAGCAGACCTCCTTCACTGATAGCCATGCGTCTCAGAGCGGCCACATCCACGGGCGTCGAGTTCAGCGCCTGCGAGATCTCCGCCATCTTCCTCTTCCGTCTGGACTCAGCATCTGCCAACATGACGAGCGCGCTCAGCACCTGAACACTGCACTATCACGGGCTACATGCGCTTCGGCAGAAACGTTCACTGGAAAGGGAGAAGTTGACTAAGATCTTTCACCTTTCCCCTTCATTTGCGCAAGTGTTTCTTTTAAAACAGCTGTTCCCAGAGGAATGGCACGTTTAAAAGGCTTGATATTGTTTTGAAATGGAACTATTTTTGTCTGGCACACAAAATACAGTCACGTCCCAAACATCCGACGCAGTTCGTGTTAGTACTGTAACAGATTTACAGTACATAATGAGTGCACAGATATCTTATGCACAATAAATCCTTCAAAAATGTTATGAAGAGTGCTTAAGATATGAAATAATGAGCAGCACACCTTTAGATGCAAAAAATAATTCACAGGACACTCCCACAGAAGTAATTAAAAGGATTATGAGGCAGAAATTAATTATTCTCACACCCGGGGAAAAAAAGTATATATACACATGCATAATTGTATCATTTATATATTTATATATAATTTATATTAATGTAATAACTGTTTTTTTTACATTAATCTATCTATCCATACAGAAAGATATTGATTTATATACATAATTTTTTTAATTTATATACATTTATTCATTTCTAAAATCCCCAAAATGTTTGTATAACTAAATTATATATAATAGAATGTATATATATGCTTATATATTAAATATGTTTATATATACTATAAATTTTATTAATATAAATATATACATGTAAATACATGTAAATATTTTCACAATATACTGTATGAGCGTGTGTTTTTATATACATAATAAATATGCACAGTACAAACATATATTAAGCAAACAAAATGTTTTATTTTGGATGCAATTAATCGAGATTAATCGTTTGACAGCACTAATTAAAAAAACTAAACATACACACAAAAATAAACACATTAAACGTTAAAAAAACAATTTTTTGATATTAAATATGTTTATATATACTATAAATTTTATTAATATAAATATATACATGTAAATACATGTAAATATTTTCAAAATATACTGTATGAGCATGTGTTTTTATATACATAATAAATATGCACAGTACAAACATATATTATGCAAACAAAATGTTTTATTTTGGATGCAATTAATCGAGATTAATCGTTTGACAGCACTAATTTTAAAAACTAAACATACACACAAAAATAAACACATTAAATGTTAAAAAACAATTGTTTTTGTTGTACTGCCTTAGAAATTGGCTGTTGCACCCATGGGTGCACCTATAAAAAGACATGCTCATTAAACACAAAAACACATTTCAGCTAAGTACAAATTTTGTGATAAAAAAAAAAAGATCATTTTATCATTCAGTCAAGTGCAGTCGATCAGTTGTTAGCGCTCTGTGATATAAATATATATATTTTTAATAGTTTAACTAAACGTTTATTTTGAAATGTCGTTTTAAAATATCTTGTAGGCTAGGTAGCGGGAGCTGTGATTCGGAAGCAGCGTGTATTAAGATCGGAGCAACGGAAAAGTTTGAGTGTGATTCAAATAACTCATACTGAGTTTTGATAAGCATATAAGTTATAATATTAAGAAGAAGAAAAAGATGGGGAAATCACGGGAAAAAAAAGAGGAAGTTGGATCAGAAACAAAAGATAGGATTGATGATTCTGAGATTGAAGATGAAATGGAGACGGGTTGGTCACAGGTAGAAGGAGGGAGAATGAAAAGTGTAGGAAAAACAAATAAAAAGAGGAAGAAAGATAATGAAGAGGAGTCCGTAAGTATAGATGAGGATAGTGAAAGGGAATTAATAAGTGGAAGGAGAGAGGAAATAAAAATGATTGTGAGATTTAAAGAGGGGCATGGAGTAAAAGGAGTAAACCCAACTGAATTAACAAATGAGTTGAGGAAACAATCAGGAGAGATTAAATGTACAAGAGTACTTCAGGATGGAGCATTGATGGTGATATGTAATAATGAGGAGCAGAGGGATAAAGTGATGAAAATGAAGGTTGTGTGTAAACAAGAGATTTCAAGTTGTAAGCAAACAGGTGGAAAATCATGGCTATGCGGAGTAATTACAGGGGTACCATTGGAGGTCACTATGATAGAGCTGAAGAGGAATATAAAAGGAGGAAATGTAATTGAAGCAAAGCGATTGCAAAGGAATAGGGAAGGTAATAAGGAAGAAAGTCTTTCTGTAATGTTGCGCTTTGAAAGTAGTAGAATGTTACCAAGTATAGTGATGATTGGATATGTTAGCTTTAAGGTGAGAGAATATGTGCGTGCTCCACTGAGATGTTATAACTGCCAGAGATATGGTCATATTGCAAGTGTATGCAGAGCCAAAAAGAGATGTGCACATTGTGGGGAAGAACATGAGTATGGAAAATGTGAAAGGAATGTGGAAGCAAAATGTTGTAATTGTGGTGGGGCCCATAGTGTGGCATATGGAGGATGTGAAGTTAGAAAGAGGGCAGTAGAAATTCAAAAGGAAAGAGATGGAAATAAGCTGTCATATGCGGAAGCAGTTAAAAAAGTGGATTCAAGGAAAAAGAAAGAGAGTGAGGAGAAGGAGGAATGGAGAGATCAAACCAGAAATGAGGGAAAGAGAAGCAGTATATCGGATGACACAATGATAGTAAGTAAAAAGAGTTTTGTGCTATTCATGGCAGAGGTCATAAATTGTTCAGCACAGACTGAAAGAAGAACCCGTGTTTTTCGATATTGAAAAAGCCTATGACATGTTATGGAGAGAGGGTTTGATGATAAAATTGGAGGAGATGGAGGTAGGGGGAAGAATGTTTAATTGGATCAGTGACTTCCTTAAACAAAGTGTAATAAGGGTGAGAGTAGGAGACTCTATATCATTTCAAGGAATAATAGAAAATGGCACTCCTCAGGGAAGTGTAATAAGTCCAGTGCTTTTTATAATAATGATAAATGATATGTTATGGAAGAATGAAGGAAAAGAGTTAACATTAAAGAATATATTAGAAAATGTTAAGAGATAAGAGGAAATGTTTCTGATCCAAGCTACCTGATGATGGCAGTAATGCACTGTTAAGTGTGGTTGCCAGTAAAAGAAAGAAGAAGAAGAAGAAGAAGAAATATCTTGTACGCACTGTCCCTCCGCACTTTCCGTATGTTTTCGAGACGATTGTCATGTGAATCCAGGTACTGCCAAAACGTTTGGAGAAAATTGACTTTATCAAACGAACATATTTTATTTTCGTTTACAATAAAAAGCCAAAATGCTCTCCCGTTTATTAAAAGAACACCAAGCGAAACAAAACGAAAGGAAAGAGTTACAAGGTTTGTGTTTCTGTAGATCTCTACCGACTAAGTGTGCTCTGACAGGCCCTTTGATATAATATTAAATGTAAAGATAAAGACGCATCTTAATATTTGTCTGTTAAATGTATTTAAGAAAAGATGGAGTTGATACATTGTTATAAGTAATAAAATGCGTTATTTATTTTCATTCGAGTCGCAAATTCTGTTTTTAGTAGGCTAATTTCCTTAATTTAGTGACTGACATTGTTTGTATTTTATGTAAGACTACAGAAATAAGTAAATTATTCTTACACATAATATGTATTTCATTACTTGACATTTTCTGTCAACCACCCAAAACAAATCAAAACAAAACAAAATCAAGTGATATGAAATAATTGCTTTTTCTTGATAAAATGCTTCAATACGGTACAGAAAGACGAAGACGAGAGGCCATAGCAGCTGCAACATGTTTAACAGAAGCCCTGGTGGATCATCTCAATGTAGGGTGAGTCGGATAGTTTTATATGTTTGTAAAGGTACACACAGGATTATATGGTCAGTTCATGTGATCACTGTGGTCATATTCCCAGTCTTTGTGTGGATATTATGATGAAATTCTGTGAAAGCAGCTTAGAGTTGCATGGTTGGATGCAAAAGAGAATTGTTCTTGCAACAGACAAATTTATGCAAACAGAATAGTTAACCCAAAAATAAAAATTTGCTGAACATCTCACCCTCAGGCCATCCAAGATGTAGAGGAGTTTGTTTCTTCATCAGAACAGATTTGTAGAAATGTATCACTTGCTCACCAATGGATCCTCTGCAGTGAATGGGTGCCGTCAGAATGAGAGTCCAAAAAGCTGATAAAAACATCACAATGATCGACTCCAGTCAGTCAATTAACATTTTGTGAAGTGAAAAGCTGTGCATTTGTAAGAATTTGTTTTGTTTTTAATTAACACATTTTTAGCTTTAAACCATTGCTTCTGGCCAAAATACGAGTCCACTACCATAATATTGCTTTCTCCAGTGATAAAGTCGTCTGGTCTGAATCAGGAGAGAAATCTGCACAGATCAAGCACCGTTTACAAGCAAAAACAGTTCTAAACAAATATGTCAGTGGATTTTGATGTGAGAGGAGGTGAGATTTTTCAGTGGAGAAAGCAATATTATGGATTATGGATTCGTATTTTGGCAAGAAGCGATGGTTTGAAGTCAAAGCATCTAAATTATATTTTTGTTTCTTAGAACCACACAGCTTTTCACAAGATATTAATTGATGGACTGATGTTGTGTTGATTACTTGTGGATTATTGTGATGTTTTTATCAGCTGTTTGGACTCTCGTTCTAACGGCACCCATTCACTGCAGAGGATCCATTGGTGAGCAAGTGATGTAATGCTACATTTCTCCAAATCTGATGAAGAAACAATCTCATCTATATTTTGGATGGCCTGAGGGTGAGTACATTTTGAGATTTTCATTTTGGGTGAACTATTCCTTTAAGACATTGTAATGTATAAGTATCTCGGTTCAGGGTGGCGCAGGCGTACATCAACCAGCGCAAGCTGGACAATGAGGTGAAGACGCTGCAGGTTCAGGCCAGTCAGTTTGCCAAGCAGACGGCCCAGTGGATCAACATGGTTGAGAACTTCAACCAGGCCTTAAAAGTACGCAATCTCTTTTATATATTGACTCGTGTGCGAATTTAGTGTTGCAATTGGTGAACTGTGCAGATTTAATGGCAGATTATTCCTGTACAGGAAATCGGAGACGTGGAGAACTGGGCGCGGAGTATCGAGATGGACATGCGGACGATCGCGACAGCTCTGGAGTATATGCACAAAGGCCCGGTTCAGCCCACGTCCTCATGAGTGGATGGATTCTGATGCTCCAAAATGGACAGAAACGCAGAGGCTTTTCCTCCAAATGTTGGTGAAACTTGGACACTGTTACTTATTCCAGTAAAAAATTGCTGGAACAGCTGTTTATTTCTGATTTGGTTCATTTTTATTTTACATAATATGCTTGCATAATAAAAAATATCTATAGTGCTATAACAGACGTCGTAAATGATAAAAACAGGATTTAACAACAGAATTAATTTTTATATATTTCTATTAAAAATACTAAATATTTCTCATGTATAATTTCTATATTGTGTAATATTATTAATTATATTTCTACTGTATTTGTATTTCTATAGATAGAAGAAGTCGTGGCCTAATGGTTAGAGAGTCTGACTCGTAATCCAAAGGTTGTGGGTTCGAGTCTCATACCGGCAGGGATTGTAGGTGGGGGGAGTGAATGTACAGCGCTCTCTCCCACCTTCAATACCACGACTGAGGTGCCCTTGAGCAAGGCACTGAACCCCCAACTGCTCCCCGGGCGCCGCAGCAAAAAAATGGCTGCCCACTGCTCCGGGTGTGTGTTCACGGTGTGTGTGTGTTTACTGCTGTGTGTGTGCACTGCTGTTACTGCTGTGTGTGTGCACTTTGGATGGGTATGCATCCAATTCCGAGTATGGGTCACCATACTTGGCCACATGTCACGTCACACTAATTGTATATTCTAATTTCTATTATTATTAGTTATTATTTCTATTATCCATTATTATGAGGTCATAAAAACTTCACATATAATCATTTGAACAAAAATAGAAATAGTTTAAAACTACTGTAGACAAAAATGTCAACCTCATGTCAACCTCTCAAAAACGAATTCGATCAACCTAAAAATAAAGCGAATTGGCATGTTTCTCCTTAAAAGTTCATCCCAGCCCAGCTATTTGTGGATCACGATTACACAAGCGCACAAAAAAAGGCCTAACAGCACTACAGTGAGATTGGAGATTAGAAATTGTGGCCCTGTCTGACAGAATCAGCTTTAGGGATAAATCTGAGGCGCAGACCCACTTCAGATCACTCACCAAACACGTTCAGGACCTCCAGCTCCAGAGCCAAGAAGGGAAAAGGTAAGTCTGATAATTGACTACTTTACCTGATAGAAGAATTTCTTATTTTTATCCTCAATGACAAAGTGAATTAATATTTACTTAAATGTGTATGTTTAAATAAGTATTTATTTATATATATATAAAAAAAAAGGGTATTCTATTTTAAAAATACGTTTTACTAAACATTTTTACTTGCGAACATTTGAAATGTATTTATTATGAATTATTAATCAGGTTAATCTGAGTAATAATTTGATGTACTACGATTTTTGTTAAAATAAGCGTCTTCAGTTTAGTTTTTTGGGACTATGGTATGATTGGTTTAGAAGTTTCGGTTATTTTTGGTTAGATTCTTTAGCAATTTTATGTATTGTATGTATACAATTTTATGCAATTAATATCAGAAAGTACATTAATAATTATTCGATAAAAGCCCTGTTTGTTTGATAATTAATTAGCGTACATTCTTCAAAGCTTAATGTGCATATAGGAGCTTAAATGGTTGGCTTTGTCCTATTGGTTGTGTTGTAGCACAGAGATGAATCCTCAATCTTTCTCTTTACTAATTAGTCCCTGTAGCTAATAGGTTTTGAGCTTTGAGAAGCTTATAGTGTTTCGGTGGTGCTGGATTTTCAATTTTACAGCATTCTCTAAACCTTTACGCTGATACCAAAGTCTCCCTTTGTTTCATAAGAGCTTTAGCTCAAGATTTCTCATGTGCTCTGAAAAACGAAAGTGTTACGTATGTTAGCGCCCTGTGACTACATAATCTAAAACCAAGAGAAGCAGTGCGCATGGGTCAATAATGTTCAATAAGCCTCCAAAGACCATATTACATCATTTTAACATACAGGTCTTACTATTTCTGAGTCAATTTGTGGTATAAAATATAAGAATGCAGTTTTTGATGCAGTTAATCAGCACGAACTGATTTGTGTAAACGTTTACCCAAATTTACATTAGTTTAATGATGGTTTTACGATCTATAGATGCAACCGAATCAAACAATAATCGATAAGGGTGTGTAATTCAAACATTATTTTTAGTAAAAAAATTCTGCAAACAAATTAGCTATATTTTATAGTTAAAATAGTAAGAACGTTTTAGAAACATGTAGAATATGTTATTTGAATATTTAAAGAAGTTTTATATGCTTTTCAGAAGTTCACAATACCTTTTTGAACTGGTGTTTGATGGATTATGGTATTGCATCCTGACGCTTCATAATTACACCTGCATTGTTGTGTTTTTTTCTTTCTTTTACGTCATTGACATTCGACCAAAAAGCAATTGTTTACAAAACATCTTTGCAGAATCACTCAGGAGGCAGAAACGATGTACGAGTACTTGAGGTAAGAATGTGTCTGACTAAAATCCTATCAAAACACAAGCAAACAAACCAACAAAACTAAAGACTACATAAATGTTGTATGCATTTTGTGCTTACAGTAACAATTGTACATGCACATATGTCTTGGGTGCGTTTGTGCTGCTATGGGTTCTGGTGTGGTTCTACCGGGACAACTTGGAGATCACCAAGGTCTCAGAGAAACACGTTTTTGTGACTGGTTGTGACTCTGGTTTCGGACACCTACTGTGCAAATGCCTGGACAAATGTGGTTTCCGCGTCCTAGCCGGGTGTCTCACGGAAAAGGGCGCAGATGATCTGAAGAGGGCGACAGGACCTTTCCTGAAAACCTTCATCTTGGACGTGACCAGCACAATCAGCATTCAGAAGGCTTTGGAATGGACCAAAAAAGAAGTTGGAGATAAAGGTGTGTTTCAGGTGAGACCTCAACATAAGATCTAGAAACAAGTGTGACATCTTTGTTCCCAACTTTCTAGGACTTTGGGGTCTCGTGAACAATGCTGGACGCTCTCTTCCCATGGGTCCATCAGAGTGGATGAAAATCGAAGACTTCCAAAGCACGCTTAAAGTCAACATGACTGGCATGATCGAGATGACCATGAACTTCTTGCCTCTTGTCAAAAAGGCCCGTGGACGAGTGGTGAATGTGGCGTCAGTGTTGGGAAGAGTGGCAGCTAACGGCGGAGGATATTGCGTCTCAAAGTTCGCAGTGGAGAGCTTCTCTGATTGTCTCAGGTATCACACTTCAATGAAAACATAGTTGTTGATTTTTTTTTTAGCAGTTTTGACTTTTGAAACCACCTCTACCTTCGGTCTTTATAGAAAACCCCTTTTGATGTAATTTCAGGAGAGACATCCAAAATTTTGGGGTCAATGTGTGCATCATCGAACCTGGTTTCTTCAAGACTCAGGTGACCAGCTTGGAGCCCATCGAGAGGGAACTTCATCGCCTCTGGAACCAACTGACCCCTGAAGTGAAGGAGAGTTATGGAGACAAATACTTGGATAAATGTATGTTATTTACGCCAACAACAACTTTTCTCCATTCTCTTTCAATAGTCTTAACAATAAGCATTTTATAATGCAATAGAAGAGCCATTTTTGGTTTCTGAAAGAACCTTTCAGTAAACAATTCTTAAAAGAACCATAGTGTGAAGAACATTTAATAATCTAAAGATACTTTTTCCACTATAAGAACCTTTTGTGCATTGAAACGTTTCCATGGATGTTAAAGGTTCTTCAATGCAATCATAATGACGTACATTTATTTTTTAGAGTATAGTCCATTTAGACACTCTTTGTCTCTCCAGACATCAAGATCCAGAGGCTGATCATGAACACCATATGCGACTCTGACCTCAGCAAAGTGACCAACTGCATGGAACATGCCCTGCTGGCCGTCCACCCAAGAACACGCTACAGCGCAGGCTGGGATGCCAAGCTCTTGTGGATTCCCTTGTCTTATATGCCTGCTTGTGTTGTAGATATTGCGCTGAAGCTGGTGTTGCCAAAGCCTGCAAAAAGTGTCTAGATTTGGAAGTAATCTTAGGCCACATACGTTTAACTCTTACCTTTCATTTCCCTCTTATGATACACTGTAGACACTCTATTTTGGGGTCTTACTAAGTAGGCTAACTAGAGTTTACAAACACTGTAAATTTAATAGTGTATTTATGATGCAAAGTTATCTGGTAACTGGACACTATCAGTGATTTTGTATATTTATGAACCATTATATAAAGTAGTTATAATGTGCCTTGAAAATGCATCACCAGTTTTGCCTGTTGATCATCTCATGTAGATGGGTTGCTAAAGTGCCACCGACTTTGACTTTTGGCATTATATTTGTATGAAACTGTCAGAGTTACTGTTTTGCAGGGAAATGGATTTAATATAACTGTATAAACATAATTCAATAAATGTTATAAGCACATTTTCTGTGAACCAATCTCTTCCCAGAAAGAAAAAAAACTAATTAAATCAGCATGCTGGTTTACTGTTTATAGCTGAACTTGCCATAAAACTATCCTTGACTGGTTTTTAGCTCTTTTCGTTTTTGTTTTTTTCAGTAGGCTAGATATAGCCTACTCTTTGAAAGTCATGGGACAATTTACTTAAAATTTAACAATACTTCTTAGTGAACATTAATTATTCATTAAACAGTTTGTCCTATGATGAAGGAATTATTAAACCGTTTTCCCTGACCCCTTATCTCTTGATCGACTGTACTCATATTTTACAATATAAATAAACATTAAATATATACATTTACTTCATATTTTGTACATCCATATTATTTAATGCCTTGGTAGCCTATCTTTTTTATTTCTAGGGTAAAAGTTGTCAGAGGACGAGTTAAAGTACAGAGCTTCTCTCTTTTCTTTTTTTTACCTCAGTAGATCGTTTGAATGAAACACTTGTCGTAGACATGAACAAGCTTATAAACATTTCAAAACGTGCTGTCTAACGTCGTGGCATGAAGTCACTTCTCCCCTCGATGTTTTAACAATGAAAGTTATCCAGTAATCTGTGACAGTGAACTTGACCTCAGTGTTGATAAAGTGCCTCAGGCGCTGACCGGATTCCACGCGCACCTGTTGACACGACTCAAGAATAGTTTGAATCCCCCTTTTAACACTTCAAACTTTAGATTTTGTCTCATGAGATACTGGAAAATGATCTCTTTCAGGACCCTACGACTGACTAATGTCGGAGTTATTGGCTTACTGGCGAAAGACATCGCAAAAAGCAGCTCAGCGTGTCAGAATGTGTCGCGGAGGTCGTTCAGTTTCTCTTCGCGGATTCACGCGAGTCAAGAATTTATCGCTCCTGCATCCGCGGATCAACCTAAATCGAAAAAGTGAGTCACTTGTAGAATAAATAAAATAGTATATAAAAATAGTGATGCATAATAAAATGTTTGATAAAAATGCTAATAAACTGAAATACCTGAAATACAATATGTTTGGTGTTAGCATGTGTCTAATTTTGTTTTATTAAAACAGACAAGAGACCAATAAAGGTCTGTTCTCTGGACTAGAGGACATGCTTTTCTACACTATAACTGAAGGAGCAGAGAAAGTTCCTGTGTCTCATTTCATTGCTGTGAGTTTTTACTTTTTCATTTACATATAAACACAAAATCATATACACAAAAGTTTTAACTAGATTTAAAAATCTTTGCACTAGCAGTTTTCCAAGTCTGCTAACTGTATAATATCACTGTATATGGGCAACAGTTGGGAGCTGCTACATTTACTCAGTTGCATGCTATGGGCTCAGTTACTATCAACCCCCTACATGTTTCCTGAAATCTGATTCGTTCATGAGAAGTCTGGGCCAAAACACACAAACGTTTATCCAGACTTTGTGGAACTGGTTTGTGTCATCAGTTATGCAATCATTTATAAGGAAAGTCAACAAACAGTATAATATAAATGAGATGCATTTTTTTAATTGGAAAAAAAAAAGTTACACAGTTTTCCAGCAGATAGATTTTTTTTGTTTATGTTTGATTATTGTTTATTCATAGTCTTGTTTTGTTTACATTTATATACATTAGTGTTTAATGTTTGTGCGACAAATGCATTGCACAGTGGCATCACATAAAGTAAACTGAATGATTGTGAAAAGACAGAACAGTATTTTAACACGATGGACAGGTAGAAACCATATTTTCAATCCATTTTCCTTACTTATTTGTGAAGTTGGACTCACTTAGAATCTTTTTCAGGTTGCAAAATACATTCCCCATCTGACCAAGTTTAGTCCTGATCTTTGGGGCGTCTCTCTCTGCACAGTGGATGGACAAAGGTAAATAGATAAATCTGACCCCAACTTTTCTAAAATATGCAGTGATGGTTTTTAAATCACCTCTTGGAATTCAGACACTCAGTGGGAGACACAAAGGTGCCGTTCTGCTTGCAGTCGTGCGTAAAGCCGCTTGAATACGCCATCGCTGTACACGAACACGGCACGGAGCGCGTTCACCACTACGTCGGGAAGGAGCCCAGCGGATTCAAATTCAACAAACTCTCCCTAGATGAAGAAAGTGGGTGGGAAGATGTCATAGATTATCATTATCAAATGAGTTATCTAGAATATCTTATTTGTTTTTGCTAGACAGAACTTTTCTGTACTGAGAATAATCTTATTAGAAGGAAATGATCAAAATAAATGGATTATTATAATATATAAAAAAATCAATAATTACTACAAAAATAACAATAATTTAATTAATTAATTGAGCTGACTGGTTTTCTGTTCTTAGATAAACCTCACAATCCCATGGTCAATGCTGGAGCAATTGTCATCAGTTCACTTATCAAGGTAAACAAATACAAAAAACTAACATTTTTTTGGGAAACTGTATATAAATATTTTCTGCGGATTTTTTTGGTGTCAGGTAGGTTTACCGTTAACAGTATTTGCTTGTTTGTCTGATAATCAGCTCTGCACGACTCCCAAACAAACAATGATATACGCACATGTATTGACATGTGGACAGGACCAAGAATGAATTTGATCTAACAAAAATTTTACCCAGAATTCAGCTCTGTGTGGACAGACCCAGTGCATCTGCTACACGTGTAACAGACTGACCTTGTGAAGCTATGAGTAGGAGTATTACTGGTCTGGACTAAATCCAGTCTATTAAAAGTGCCCTTTACACTAGATGTATGTGACTTGTGCTTTCTAGGTTCCCAGAGTCTTCAGTACAATCTAGAAAACATAAAAATCATGAGTTTTGATGAAATCTTACTGTTGTTTTTCTACAGCCAGGTGTCAACAAGGCCGAGAAGTTTGACTATGTAAGTTATAACCTGTTGAATGTAGCCATTTAAAAAAAAAAAAAAAGATAAATCAACCTTAATGTTGTTCCGAACTTCTATGATTATTTATTCCTTTAATGCGGCAAAAAGTAGATAATTAACTAAATGAAAGTAAGGCTATTAAACTCCAAAAGGATAAACAAGTAGTGCATACGGCATACAGTAGTCATACAGTAGCTTTGTTTTAGGTAAAGACTGAAATTATTGTTATTCCTTGAAAATATAGTCTTTTTAGGCATCTATAAAGTGTATGTTCTATAAAATGACTTTTTATTGGCTGTTTTCTATAGCAAGTCTACGAAGAAAATAATTGTGTTGAGTCTGTTTCGCAGGTGATGGAGTTTGTGAAGAAAATTACAGGCAGGGAGTATGTGGGCTTCAGCAACGCAACGTATGTTTTTCACTTTATCATTTTACACATGTTTCTGCACCCAATTTCATTGCTTTTGACTCAAGTATAATTTTCGTTTCACCAGGTTCCAGTCTGAGAAGGAGACAGGAGACAGAAACTACGCAATAGGATACTACCTAAAAGAGAAGAAAGTTTGTACTTTCGCATGTTTTATAAAAGCAAACTAGAAAGACGTTGTTTATTCTATGCAAACGCAACTATGACGTCCTTCTTTACAGTGTTTTCCTGTAGGGGCGGATATGATAGATGCACTGGACTTTTATTTCCAGGTAGGTCCAGTTGACATTTTTTCACTGTTAAATCAAAGATTTAATACTTCTGGCAATCCCATCAGAATTTCCCTTCTGTCCCTCAAAGTTGTGCGCCATAGAGGTCACGTGCGAGTCTGGCAGTGTAATGGCCGCCACACTGGCTAACGGAGGCATCTGTCCAATCACAGGAGAGAGAGTTCTGAGCACAGAAGCCATACGAAACACGCTGAGTCTCATGCACTCCTGCGGGATGTACGACTACTCGGGACAGTTCGCTTTCCATGTGCGTAAAAGGATTGTTTCTACACTGTTTATATTGTATGACTTTCAATCCAGTAAGCTTATTTTTAAAAGAATTTTTATTAAAAAATAGCTTATTTAAAAGGAAATTTAAGAGTGCAATCTGTTAAGATTTTGTGCAGCCACTAGTTATTATATGACTTTCAATCTAGACAATGTATTTTAAAAACTTATTAAAAACATGACTTATTTAAACAAATTTAAGTGCACAGTCTTTTGAGGTCATACGTATGTTATACAGGAGAGCTTTGAAAACTTCTAAGCAATATGATATTGAGGACTTTTCTGGTAGCTTCTTGTAACAAATTGTAATTAATTTTGTCGTACTGACACTTGTCATAGTAACAAACCATATGACTTTATATACCAATACATGTCAGGTTGGATTACCTGCTAAATCTGGTGTGTCTGGTGCTGTTCTTCTGGTGGTGCCGAACGTGATGGGTGTCATGTGTTGGTCGCCCCCCGTGGACAAAGTTGGGAACAGCGTCCGTGGAATTAGCTTCTGTCAGGTGCTTCTGCCATCGTCCTGTTGGTTTTACACCCTCTTTTTAATTCCACATCATACATTTAGTCTAAATAACTAATTTTGTAACCCTTCCATAATTAGGAACTGGTGTCTTTGTTCAACTTCCACAATTATGACAATCTGAGGCACTTTCTGAAGAAGCAGGACCCTCGCAGACAGTCTGGTGATGACAGGGTAAATCTAAAATTAGAAAAACAACTTTCACATCAACCAATTTTAAACACCAAAAGTTGCGAAAATACCCTACATTAAGCTCTTTTTTAGACTGATTATTTGTTCCAGCAATTAATGCACCAAATCTGTTCTTTTCTTAGAATAAATCAGTGGTGAATCTGATGTTTGCAGCCCACAGTGGAGATGTCTCAGCTCTGAGAAGGTCATTTTATATACTTCACAATGTCTTTATTACTCCAAATTTTTGAGTGCTACTGAAATACTAATTACTTACTGCCCTCTTTTGTTCCTCAGGTTTGCCCTTTCATCTATGGATATGGAGCTGAAGGACTATGACTCTCGTACACCACTTCACATAGCTGCTGCAGAGGGTAGAATCGTTTTCTGCAAACATAAAAGAATCTTTCGGTCCCAAACATTATTTGTTAATCATAAACGTAATTTGCCGTCTATGTCTTCTCTGTTTTAGGTCACATGGATGTTGTGCTATTTCTGACACAGTCCTGCAAAGTAAACCCTTTTGTGAAAGACCGGTACAGAGCCCTGTTTCTTTACACGTTTACCTTCAGCTTTATCCAGTTGGTGATAATTGACCTCATATCTCGTATTCAGGTGGGGGAATATTCCTCGGGATGATGCCATGCAGTTCGACCATGAGGATGTGGTGAAGGTCTTGGAAGAACATGAGCTAAACTACAGTCTGCAAACATCTCAGACTGACACAGAAGACCATAGTCATCAATCCAAATGTTCATCTCTGGAGGGATGAGTGTAATCTGCTGTGAATTTAACCAATTTAAGGACTATAGATCATGTCATCAGATATTGTGAAAATAAGGGCACTTATATGGAAATGTCTCTGGACAGAGATAAAGAAAAGCTAACTATGTTTTTTTTTATTTTGATGTGTAAATATAAAATATTTGTACATAATGTTATATATTGTAGTTTGACATATCCTCTTAGAAACTGCCTTGGTTATACAGTGTAGAGTGTACAGTATTTGTGACTAATAAACAACCAACCATGCCAACAGAATCTTATGCTGACAAGATTCTCTTACAGATTCTTATTATGTATCCACACTATAGATTTTTAAAAAGAGGTTATAATAAGGCCTTCTATATGTAAAACATAAATCTATAACACAACAACAATCTAGAACAGCCTCGCAACCACAAAAAGTATACAAATAAATATATAAATAAATCAAACCAGATTCAGAAGACCTTAGCAACTGCATAGTAGCGCAATTATGACGACAAATGTTGTTGAACAGCCTGTACATCATCAAGGTGGATCTGATTAAAACAGATCTATTGATATAGGGGAGAGCGGGGCACAAAGTATCACTTTTTGACTTTCTCAGTTTGTGTAAATCCACATGGGGTTCAGAGTATATATTTTTTTATGCACAGTAATTTCACACTTGTCTAGTACAAATATGTCGCTTTGTTTCATAATTACAGTGTATACGTTTTTCTTTATTTACCCTCAAAAATTGGAAGTGAAATGTGACAACATGCCCCGTAGGTGGAACACATTGTAACATCTGAGGGGCACGTTGTAACATGACCATATAACAGCTTAAAATGTTATCTGATCGAATGAAAAAAATATACAAGACAAACTAAAATATTTTGTCAATAAAATAAAATAATTATTTATTTCAAATAAAATAATGGCGTTTTTTAAGAATTAAAAATAATCTGATTTTGGAGTTTGACAATGAACACATTGCAATCATGCTTGGGACGGCCCACATAAACGAGCCAAAATGCTTTACATGTCTTGAAACAATAATTTCTTAACATTAAACATTGACTGTCAGTCTTTATTCACCTGTTTCTCGTCGTTTATCATTAAAATTTATTAAAGTAAATAGTGTGAATTGCATCGCTAATGTCATAGAATAGCACGGCAGGGCACATTGTAACGCAGTGTTACAACATACCCCATCTGCGCAACTGGAATTTAAAACCGGTTACTGTCTTCTGATAGTTAGCGAAGCATTAAAAAATAATCTAAACTGATAAATAACAGATTGGAGATTAAAATAATAGCAGCTTTGTCTCATTTTAAATGAGTAATAAAAACTGAGATGAAAAATTTACTTAAACCCGAAATATAATTTTACTATGGTAAAATAAATGTTCAGCGATATCTTCAAAAAACTTTTGAATTTTGGTGCACTTTTTTCTCTCTATATAATGTTGATATGGTAACTAGTAAATGCTGAAAATTTGGTTATGCTAGCATGTGTGGAAATATTTAAACTACGTGTGTTACAACTTACCCCGCGTTACTTTGTGCCCCGCGCTCCCCTAGGCCTAGTACACTTGCATCTGTAAATGAAACGTGCACTATAGCACGTACACCCTTCTGCCTCAGAGATCAGACATAAGTTGTGGCTATCAGAAACTGTAACAGAGGTGTCAGCCTTTAAACATTTGTTCTTACCTTGTTTTGATGCTGTTTTATGTCTGATGATCATGTTAGAATACATGTGAAAGCATCTGTTGTTTCGGTTTTTTCTTCTCTTGTGTTTTTTTGTGTGGAAATTCTGTACAGAAGATGTGTAATAGCAAGTTTATTTTATTAAGTATACTTAAGTAAAGTTCAAGTATATTTTTAAGTATACTTTATGTAGTAAGTATACAAATATCAGTGTACTAGTAGTAGTATACTTGAAAGTGTACTATTTCAATACTCCTTGGGACTAAATTGGCCCACTTTCTAGTATATAAAAGTATACTTTTAAGTATAACAGTAGTAAACTTTGAGTACACAACTAGTTTACATCTATATTTTTAGTTTGTACTGCAACTATACTAAAAGTGAACTAACTAATAGCACACTTGAATAAACTTCTTTTTCGTAAGGGTAACTTTTTGTTCCTACCTGATTATTTACATTATTCAGTAGTTGCAGTGTGTAATTATCTTAGAACACTATCTTGAGAAGAAAACGTCCTGCTAAACGGATAAAAAGACGCACTGGCTGAAGTTAGTGGTGTTTCGTTCGAGAATGACTCACTGTTGTTGAATGAATCTCAAAAGTGAACGAATCGTTCGGATTCTGAACTAATTCATATTTTTTGTTTATTTAAATCCCTTACTCACTTACCGCCATCTGCTAGAGCAATTACATGATCTCTATAGCATGAAGTGGAGAAGGGTCTTGTGGACAGAAGGTAGGCCTATGTGAGAGAGCTCTAACCACAGTGCTGCAGATGGTCTTCGGCCTCGCACGCACTTAGAAACCTCTCACGAATCATCTTGTGCCCACAATGCCCATGCACACTTTTGTGCTTAGCAACAAAAATAAGTCTGATGCTTTTTTTGTAGTCTGGTGTGGCAAGTATTAGGTATTTCTTTCACAATTTAGGAATATTTTTAAATGTATTAATCACTCAGACTAAGCTGCAAAGTGTTATTTTAACAACATGAGAAAGAGATGTTTAAAAAGAACATCAGTGTCCTGAGGCTACATTCAACCAAACAATCTTGATGCAAAAAATCCAATATAAAGTCCATTTTGGTCAACTCTGACTGATACTTCCTCATAACAATATGAGCGGTCATTGGCTGAACCGTCACCACATGCTCTGTTTGTGAACTGAAACCACAGTCACACCAGTCACTCTTCTAAAATGATCACATATATGTTGTGTCTAGTCTTGCTCTTCATTTGTGTTGAAGGTAAGATATGTATTGCTACTTATTTGATTCATGTGTTTTTGTAAATGTTTGGTGGGATTTTTGAATCTTTTCAGAGGTTTTCAAAGAGTCACTGAGCATCAGTGCTTGTCACTAGCTCAATAATCCAATATCAGTTTGCCTGTTTGACTGATATGTGCCAAAACACATATTGTTTAACTCTAATTTAATAAAACTCATCTAATCATTATAGAGACATTCATGGGCCAATAACCAACAATGGAAACCGCATCATGCCATGTGCTAAATGTTTAAAACATAAATATGCTAAATAATACATTTTGTTTTTAAGGTTTTTCAAGATCTCTCAGTTCAGCCAAAGATGTTCTTATGAATGTGTTTCAGGTGTGTTTGCTGGTGATGCAGATGTAATGGAGTCAGTATCAGTGACTGAGGGAGATTCTGTCACTCTAAACACTGATGTTACTAAAGTACAGAGAGATGATCAGATACTGTGGATGTTTGGACCTAAAGAAACTCGTATAGCTGAAATCTATAAGCATAGCATTGATATGTTTAGCAGTAATGGGACATTTGGAGACAGACTGCAGTTGGACTCTTTCACTGGATCTCTGACCATCAGAAACATCAGAAGCACAGACTCTGGACTTTATAAACGACAGATCCGGAGCGACAGAGGGAACTCGGACAAGACATTCAATGTTACTGTCTATGGTAAGACAAATATGACTTAGAATATGTATAAATGGATATGAAGCTTATTATTGGACTGATAGTGAATCAGGAATATGACAACTCTAAAAATTAAGGTTTGTTAAAAGTTTAATGTATTTCCTAACCATTTGATTTTTTCGCCCAATAAACTATAAACCATTGCCCTTTCTTAATACTGAATGAATTAATCTTTTTTAAAAACTAATATTTAATGCAGCCTTTATTATGTATGCTGTTTTTCTGTTTTTGTTTTTGTAATGTGAACTTAATCCATGGTGATAATGTTGTGTAGCTCAATTCTGATTTCCATGTTTCGGATATTTTGATTATTGCGCCGTTTCATCTGCATTTGGATCCTGCTGTCCCTAATGTCTGAGTTTGCCCACATTCCAAAAATATGCTTATTTAATTTACTTGTTTTTCAGCTCGTCTGCCTGTTCCTGTCATCACTAGTAACTCTTCAAACTGTTCTTCATCATCATCATCCATTCTGCCTGTTCCTGTCATTATCAGAGACTCTTCACACAATTTGTCATCATCATCAGGATCTTCAGTGTCCAGATGTTCACTGCTGTGTTCAGTGTTGAATGTGAGTGATGTGACTCTCTCCTGGTACAAAGGAAACAGTTTATTGTCCAGCATCAGTGTGTCTGATCTCAGCATCAGTCTCTCTCTACCTCTGGAGGTGGAATATCAGGAGAAAAACACCTACAGCTGTGTGCTCAACAATCCTATCAGTAACCAGACCAAACATCTGGACATCACTCAACTCTGTCACACACGTCCAGGTAGCGCTCATCTGTGATCTGTCTTTTAACAATTCACCCAAAATAATAAATAATGTAATTTATGCTAATTTCTAAAGCAGTTTAAAACCCGTTTGTTGGTAGTTTTCAATTGACAGAAATAATAGTGCGAGCAACCAATCATAACAAGATGAAGCAACTACTGCCCTCTATTGGTCAACACACACACACACACACACACTCAGGCACTGCTGCTTGTTCTTTCGGGCCAATTTAAGTGGGCACTGTCCCTGCAAAATATGAAAATTCAGAGTTGGAACAATCCATTTTATTTTTTTTTCATTCAAACATAATTTAATTAGCAGAAGAGTTTTAAAAACAACCATGTGATTCCTCCATTTTTTTCTTTCTCCAGGCTGTTATGGCAATTCTGTGAGTGTGACTCCATCCCTGATTTATGCTGTGGTGGGCGCGGCCGCTGTTGCTCTACTTGTTTGTTATGTCAGGTCTAGGACGGATTGGAAAAAGAAAAAGCCACCATCACAACCTCACTGACGCGATTCTCTCCTATGGCCACCAGGTGGCAGTAACTCATAATTGTTCAATCAAATTCATGTGCACTTCCCCAATGTAAATAAAAAATGCAAACGTGCTTCTTTGTAGTCTACCAAAAATCTTGTTTCATTAAATCATCAATTACGCTGTATGCAAGACTGCAGTCTTAAATGCAATATGTCAAGCTCCCATAGCAGGCACAAAAGTTCTTTCTAATACAGTGGTTTTCAGTTTTGTACCTGCCCCTTTAAACCGTCTGTCAGTGCGACTTACAAACATAAACACAACCACGTTAAAGAGTTTATCTAAAAATTGGCATTTACATTCCCCCCCCACCCCAAATTTTATAGCCCACACTTGAAAGTCGCTGACCTAAAGAATCAACAAACAAACACCAATGTAATTTGAGGATCATTGTCAATTTCAATCCACAGTTTAGAAACTCACATTCATTCGTCTTGAAAATAACCAGCTGTTAATGCTGGTGATAATGAAAAGGGAAAACAGGCAAACAAAAAGAAAAAAAAGTTTATCAAGACAGCACAGAGCTCAAAAAGCCTGTGAGTGTGAAGCAACAGTGTATGATGAGACATGTAATGACTTGCAGTGCTATGATACAGGGCAGAAAGGTAAGAATTACGGGAAGAGAGCAGGGGTTGGGGTGGAGTCTTGTGGCTTTACATAAGAACCCTGAGGACATTAATAACTGCCAGTTTTTTGTGTATCAGACTAGCTGAGAGAACATA